TCAGCCAATCACAATGTACCATTTCTATTGTAAAGACACTTAAGCCGATGTGCAAGTTAAAATTCAGTTGTTCAGTAGTTCAATATACTTCAATTGTACTGTCTGGGTAGGATCTGATGGTCATTATATTTAATTCCCACTGGAATACCTCCTTGATTTCCTCCACTGGCTTCAGCCAACGAGAACCACCAGCCCTGCATGGATAACAAATCACGCAAGGTTTCATTTTACGATTCTATGAAGTTCCTAAAAGACGCCAAAATGTTGCACGCTGAATTGCGAAGCTACCAAAAAGGAGGCCGTGTTGCAAACGTGACTGAGGGGAGTCAATTTAAGGTGAGTTAGTAGACTGCAGCGTTCCAGAGAAATATAAAAGTAGCAATTGGAGCACTTTGATCAACTAGGTCAACGTTGTAGACAAATTAATGTTGTTGTTGATCTTCCAAAATCACAAATGTGCCTCCGTCTTCATGTATCGTCCTATCAGAGGGAAGCAGTTAAAGAAGGTAATTCAGCCCGCGTCCGTATCATCCATGGAACATCTGAAACTTCTGCAAGGAACCAGCACGGCAAAATGTCTCTTATTTCCTCCCAAACATCTTCTGTTATCAAAATGTCTTTTGAAGAAAAGAAACATGACTGGTATTTAAGTAAACATTTTATAGTACAATTACGGACTGAAGAAAACAAAGTGGTGTAATTATAGTGTGTGATATAAAGAATTTAATGTGGAACGATTAGAGGCATTTAAAATGTGCTGGGTAGAAGTGGGTACTTGTGATTGGGGCCCCAAGGGCCCACATGAACGTTTTTTTCATATCATTATTTAAAAGAGAGATAAAACAGAAAACATTGATCCAAAGTTGTTGGGGACGACTTCAGCACAGCAAGTAATAAAACATTGGATTTGCAGAATAAAGCACCTGTGAAAGACTGAAAGTGTATCCTTTGGTTCCTGGCGGTGCGAGTGATGCACGGCTCACTGGGGGAGGGGGGGGGCAGTGGTCGCTGCTGGTTTCCCTCGCAGTGGGACATTGGACCTGCTGCAGAGTCGTCACACGGGATTCTGTGATCTGTTCTCTCCTGAATACGTCTGCTACGGTAATTAAACTGCTGTGTAACACGTTCTGCAGCAGCATCGCCTTGATTATTTACGGGGCAGTTCTGTCCCAGCAGGTGATGTGCGCACTTCTGTCATAGCCTCAATTTACTCCACCTGCTTGCTGCACACGGTGCTCACGCTGCGCAGGGTTATCTACTTCTAGGAGGACTCACGGCCGTTGTTCTACCTGCAGTGGGTCATTAACCTGCGTGGTCTGTAACCTATTGGCTACTATTACTGCAATGATTACAGACCATATTACATGGCCACACGGACGCTTAGTAAAGTATTAATGAAGCATTAAAGTAAAGTATTAATGAAGTGTGAACCAATGCCCAAGACCTAATGGACAAAGACCTTGAAAAAGGCACATGCATATTTTATTGTCCATTATTTATTCGATGGATTAATGGCTGATTGGTTGAATGAATCCACCACTGTTTCAGGCAGGAACACAGTTGGAACATGGGGGTTTCTTTTCATATACACTTGAACTGCTGTTTTTAATTATTTGATGATTGTCATATAATTGTGCATAGTGTTAACTAAAAATAGTAGTCCATACTAAAACATGTGTTAAATTGATTCATGAATTACCAGCCAAATGAATGGAAATGAAGGACATTATCCACTTTTTACGTCATTAAACTTAAACGACTGATGCTTTTCACTGTCTGGACAATCCGTTGCAGCTATGGAAGAGTCTTAAGGTGAGTCCAAATCCTGTGCATGAACATGAACATTAAGCAATTCATTCTATAAAAGTGTATGATTGATGTGTGATTTTGACTTAAACTGTAATTTGTTTTGCACGTTAACACAAGTGCTTTTATCTGTCACACACTAGCAGATATTCGGCCTGATTGGATGACGACAAAAGAGAATTATCACCGAGACGTCCCACCTTCTCATTACCAGCCTGTTCACACCGTGAGGACACAACATGTCGTTTCAGTGGCTTTGTTCATTATCACGAGCTTCTTTAACACTCGTATGACCTGTGAACGACAGGGACGTGTCTGATGTCCACGGCTTCAGAGCAGCTGACCCACTTGAGGAGCTCATTCACGGTGCTGTTGGAGGAGCAGAAACTGCTGCTGCTTCGGTCAACTCATCCTTTGATGAGGTCAAAATTCTCAAGATTTGCTAAATTCCCGAGCTTAACTTCCCATGAAAACTTTCCGTCCCTTTGCAGCTCAATGTAACATACTTGCTCAGAAATCATATCTGGTTATGGCTTTTGTATAAACTGGTGTCGACAAACACCAGATATGCTCAATTCAAATCATTACACCCCTGACTCCTACGTGGTTTGAATGGTACCATTCTACACAATATCTTCACAGATCAAATAAAAGATGTTGCTTCACACTTGTTTAGTTTGTCTTGTTGGAGAACTTCCCTGTGCATCTAAAAGCTTTAAAGTAGTTGTGCTCTTTTACTTACAAGCAGGGAGTTGGCGCCCACACAAACGTCAGAACCTTCTGCCGCGGTAATCTCATCTCTCATGGGGTCCGGTCGCAACAGCTCCAGCAGGGGACCCCAAACTTCCCTGTCCCGGGCCACATGTAGCAGCTGTGAGTGGGGGGCTCCCACGGCGTGTCCAGGCCAGTGTGGAGATATAATCTCTCCACCTACTGCATCAGTCTCCTGCTGAGAACCACGTTCTTAGATTTAGAGGATGAGGTTTCAGTGGTCCCTACTAAGGAGTCGACCTTTGGAGAGGGAATCGGGTGTGAAGAATAGCTCCCCATTCATCAGCGGAAGACATCAAGCCAAGTGACTTGGACGAGATGAAGGTGGGCTCCCGTTCAGTGAGGCGTCCTACGGACCACAGCGAGGACTTGGTTGGTTTGATTTGGTCATCCCGTGTCGTGTGAAAACTGAGGGATGAATTCTCCTTGCTGCACCGAGCCGATGTTAGCAACACAACACAAGCTTATCACGGCAGTCAGATGCAGAATCGATTTAATGCCTCAATGGAAAAATGGTGCTCAAACCAAAATAGCGCAGTGCCAGTTTCTCACAGCCTCCCGGTGATGACTGACAAACAATTTAAAGTTCAAAACAAACACATTCCCTTGATCAATCAGCACCATCCCAAAGGACAGCTGAAGAGAATATTGTTGCACATCCTCTCCTGGTCACTGTAGTGACTGGCCTTTATGTCCCCATCACAGCTAAAACGTATAGTCGATGCACTGTAACGATTATTATTTGTTATAATACTGGTAGATGAAACCCAGCGTTCTGATTGGTTGAGAGTGGGTCACAGGGATTGCATTATTTAAGCAATACGGTACGATAAAGTACAGCCTCTCGTACCTTATTGCTTAAATAATCCCTTCAAAACAACGGTCGCATTTTTCACCTTTTCACCACGTGAGTTTCCTCACATTTAAGAAGATGAATTTAACTTTACTGTAGCAAATCACTTAGTGAAATAATTAAGAACTGAAGGCCCTGTTGAGCTTTCACAAACTGTATCCAGAGGAAAATAACAGGCCCAGTTTTCCATGTAGAGCGTTGGTATATTCTGCAAATACACACCGTACACACTGTGCATCCGGAGTGACACTTAAAGGTGTTTGTTGACATTGGAAGAACATCCATTGTCAACAAGTAGACATTCATAGTAAAGGCCTCCCGTTTTTAGATGGCACGCCATGCGAATCCTCTAGTCCACGAGCACAAGGGGTGAAAGTTCACGTAACCGAATGGGTCTTCAGATAAAAAGGGCATTTTCAAAACACCTCGGTTTCAAATGAAATCATTATTATCACATGAGGCTGTTTGGAGGACACAGTAATAGGTGTGATTTAAGGTCAATTAATTTGTTCCATTCATTTGCTATCTCTTCATTCAAAGTATTAATGTCCCCGAGTAAAAACATGAATACAAGTGGTCGCATTTGCTTCGGCGGCGCGGAACGGTTTGTGAAACGAGTTGTAATGAAGCGACGGGCAGAATCCTGCACAAAAGTTAATGGATTTCTTCACCCCCTCCACCACCCAAATGAATTACTAATCCCAATATGTATGGAAATTAACAATGGTGAGAAAAAAAGATTACATTAGAACACCCTTATTAGGCAATCGTAATTGAACCACTTTTATTTTAAATAAAGCAATCAGACATCTTTAAATGAAACATCCGATACGAAGGCGGGAGTCGGGGTGGGGAGGGGGGGAGGGGGGTCAGTGGTGGTGATCCGATCAGCATGAATTACAATGAGCCGTTAAACAACACATTTTCCAAACCTCGACAACAACTGGTGTACGAATGGTTCAATACGGGAAAGTGTACAGATATCGGTAGACTGCGATGCTGTGTGTGTGTGTGTGTGTGTGTGTGTGTGTGTGTGTGTCCCATCCACTAATTGTGGCCGGCCGCCCCATAATTACCGCCCCGTCTCCAGCCTTTCAAATGGCCTTCTCTCCTCAGAGAAAAGTGGGTTCAGATGCCTGTGAACGTGGGCTTGGATCCCCCCCCCCCCCGCTGCTGCTGCGTAAACATGAGCCGCTCCCCCCCCTCACCCATTCTGTTTCTCCTCCACAAACAAAACTCTTTTTGATATGCAGGCGTTGCCGCCGCCCCCCACACACACTATTTGGGATTGCAACATCCTTGTTAGCCCGCTGCAAATTCCTCACCACTTACCTTATTCATGTGTGGTTAATCCGTGTGTATGTGCGTCTGGGTGTGTGAGAGGGCGTAGGCTGTGTCGAAAACACAAGAAGGAGTCGAAAAGTTTAGGCTGATGCTGATGAAAACCACAGAGCCACAACTACAACAAGCGCCGGTGGACCCCGTTGCCAAAGCGGGTGGGATTGAATCCTTGTTCAGGGCTAATTGATGACATCCATTACAGAGAAGACAAATGGGACGAGCCAAAGGAAAATGTTCAGAAATTCCTAAAGAATACGTTTATTTGCGACTCCAAAAAGGCATTTCACGACACAACAACGTTCGGCCGCACGCGCAGTCGGCCCAGGACTCGTGGAAGGAGCCTCATCCAGAGCGACCCGACGCTTTCCAAGGTCAAGGGTGAACGTCAACAATTTACAAATTGTCACTCCAGATGTTTTGGGGGTTGATCGCGTAACATCCATGGAATCGAGGTATGTCTTCCCTTTGTAGAGCATCCGGACAGGGCTGACCTTCTAGGGGAGCAAAGAGCCAAATAATCCACAGTGGAGGAAACTAGAGAAGCTTATTAGATGATTGGCACCATGCACGTTTATTTAACTCCTCCATCACTATCCTATAAAGTTCTCCCAAACGTCGGTGGTACTTCTTAAAAAACAAAACAAACAAAATGAAAGTCACCGTAGCGCTCGAGGCTAAGTGGGTATTTAGCAAGCTTCTTTTCGCCTCATCAATGAAACCTTACTGAAGGAACTAATGTACAACACACAGAACAACATGCAGCACAGTACAGAAGAAGAAAGAATCTATGGGGACTGACTGGTGTCACAGCGGTTCACCAGTTAGCCCGTCACTAGTCACCGGAGCACGAAGCACCTAACATCATGGATCGACAAAGACGTGCGGGTCCATTCGGTCTGCCTCTCTCAGGGCTTTGAACGCCTCTCAAAGGTTTTCATTTCAATAAATAAGCTCTTCATCTATTGCCGAAAGAGGGAGCTCAGCGGTGACTGTGCCCGCGGCCGGCTGCTGGCAGACCTGCAAGTTTCTGTAGTGAGATTCATGGCAACAACGAAAAAATCTCTGAAAAGTACCCCAAGAATCCCGGCTGCTGAACTCGAGGCACTCAATTGTTTTCTCATCCAATCCCAAGTCTCTGCCCACTAACTGATCCACTAATGTAGTTAAACTACTCAACTGCCCAGAAAGTTGGAACTGTTGCAAATGTTAAGAGTAAGAAATATTTTTTTTGCCGTTTTAGAACAAGGAAGATCAATTCTAAAAAATAAAACGGCACGTTTTATGTCTAAAAAAACCTCTTAAAGGACGAGCCTTCAGCTGCTCTGTGAGTGTGGTTTGTCCTCGCCGGCTGGACGTGTCTGTGAAGCTAATGAAAACACACCAAACAGAAAGCTGGTTTTCCCTGTTATACATCATGTGTGACAACAGACACCTCTAAATCCTACTCACTGGTCCCTGGAATCGCCAGATGTCTCCGGTTCAGTTTCTACTTCTGAAGAATTTTATCAGAGCTCACGCTTTCAGTTTTTTTTATTACAACGTGTGGAATTTCAATCTTTGGAGTCATTCATGTTGTGTTGCTCAACTGTGCGAAAAGCATAACTATAATAATGGATTTGATAAAGTTTTGTTTTTTCATCTGATTTCATCTGAAAGCCGAGCAGAGAAAACAATACGAACGGATTAGATTCATTTCATGCCGCTGTGCTGAACTGATGCCGACGTCTGAGCTGCTGTTGTTGTTGTTGTTGTTCATCTGCACAGGGGAGAGCGGCCCCCAGCTCGGGTCGGCAGACCGCTCCAACACCGAGTCATGTGTTCAAAAAAATAATGGGAGAGCGGAACAGTGAGGATTCAGTGTTTCCCAGGGATAGTTTTCTCTCTCAGAACCACTGCTCCTGCTCTACTGAGCCCCACTGGGCTCCTTGGAGCTCTTCTTGCTCTTCTTCTTGACCCGGTACACGTGGAAGGTTTTGTTCTGGAACGTCCTGGTGAACAGAGCACCGTAAGCCTCCGTCTCCGTCTTAATGGCCTCGCAAAATCGAGGATGGGAGGCAGGGACGAGGTCTGGGTCATTCTCCCCCGGGCCGTCCATGATCTGATGGAACACACAAACAGCAGCGATATGTCGACATACAGATGTTGGTTGTAAATAAACACTGAGGCTCTATTTCCCCCTCAGGGGCGTTTCAACTGTGTGGTGCGACTCGCTTCTTTGGTTTATTGTTGATTATAATACGAGAAGATGAAATCCAGCGTTGTGATTGGTTGAGAGGGAGTCACGGCGGTGCATTATTCAGCGACAGTGTACAGTTGCTGTTCACGTTGACCCGAGCGTTCCACTCAAAGTATCAGGTTACATTTTGCGCGACAGTATGTTGACATTTCAAGTTTCAAGCGGACAATCGAGGTGGACGTCATGAGCGAAGTCAATGAATGAGATGCTGTTTACGTGCACGTGCGGGCACTATTATTCTCTAGACTACTGAAATGTGATACACAACGTTTGGTGGCTACAACTATTTTGTGCTGAAAGGCTATTTACTTACTATTTACAACTTCGCTGGTAACCGTATTATGAAAGCAATTTCACATAGACTCACAGTACAATTGTGTATTGTATGATCTGTTTGAAGAAGAGGAGATTTTTTTGTATTATTCTACATATACAGGAAATTGTTCTCTACATTTAAAGGCGCCCGGGGGGCAGTTATGTGTCGGGACACTCGGACATGGACATGGCCTCCCTACTCCACGTGTGACGGTCGCCTACATTTGCCTGAGCACTTTATTCTTATGTGATATTTTATTTGATATTCTTTTTGTGTTTTATATTCTATTGTAAATTAAATTTTAAATTGAATATGTTCATATTTCTTGCACTGTGTAATTTGTTTTATTGTCCATTATATGCACCACCCGCCACAACAGATTCCTTGTATGTCCAATATCCGTGGCAAATAAATGGTTTTGTTTCTGATTCACAGAAACAAAACACTGGGGCAAACATACACGCATCAGACAAACACATCAAGGAAAAGGAAATGAAAGACAGAACGACAAATAAAAAAAAAAAGAAAGAGGAGGACAGGAAGATTTATTCCCAGTGTTCCGTCAATAAAGCTGTCTGCATGTCAGGTGCTGTCTGACGTCTACACAGGGTGAATAAATGCCACCCACGTGTCCGTTGGCCTGGTCGAGCAGGTCCCTCAGCCGGCAGCCTCGGCTGTGCCTCTTCTCGTAGCAGATGCTGTTCTCCAGCACCACATAGTCGGCCCCGATGGCCCGCAGGATGCTGTGGACCTCCTCCGGGGACCGGCGAGCGTACACCTGGTACACCTGCTCACACACACACACACACACACACGCACATTTATCTCGGCTTGTGTAGATTTTCTGATTGCTTTCCCCCCTAAAGATGAGCTTGAGTTATAATTTAACAGCGAAGGAAAGAAACTCCTCTCTTGGAACTAAATTACCACACAGATTTATTTTCCGAATTACATTTTTGATGAAAGTCAATTACACCGTGTTTACTGAAAGAAAAATGAAAAAGTGTTAAAACATAACGGATCTCTGTGAAATCTGTTATGGGTCATATTTTTTTTGTAGAAGAACAAATAAAGTGTGCGACAACAACAACAGATTTAAAAGAACGGGAAAGAAAAGTGTTCGAATGGGGTTTTGGTTTAAACGAGGGCTCGAACATGAAAGTGACAAAAACAAGATGCAAGTTTAATGTTTTCACTTTAGCGGCTTTTTTCCCCACAGAGAAACAGTTACACTTTATGCTAAAAAGGACACAATGATGTAGGTTAGAATCACGCGGCCTGATTCATAGGTTACTGTTTACTAGTGAAAACTAGTGTCCTCCTCAAAGGGTTAAACGTTTGCTAAACTGTGAAAGGAAACAGCTGTTAAGTGAAGCGACGTGCAGACGTGTCTCTCTATGCAAATGGGACTCGTTGGAGTCCCAGTGGACAAAGATGAGCGCTGCTGACATGGTGGTCTCACACCCGAGTGTCCCTCGGACGGTGTCTCACCGCCCTTGTGATGGAGATCAAGTTGGGGGAAGACAGCGTATTCCCTAGAAATGGCCGAACCCTTTTGTTTCGGCATTAACAGGAACTATGAGGAACGCTTTCCACAGCACGTCCGCCAACATTACCGAGATGCACTCAGACGAGGCGCCGCCGTCCAGCCTCCGGCTCTCCCCACCTTCCTATTCACAGCCACTTAACGGGTGCACATTGTGCTCAGAGCGCCGTCTGATCCCACATTCGTCCCCGCAGGTCACATGGCGTCCATCTACAGACAGCTCCCCCCGTCTCGCCCGCTAACGAGGACGCTAACACGGAGCCCAGTGAGATGAACGGCGGCGGTGACGGCGGCTTCGGCGCGATGGATCTCTCTGACAAAGAGCGAGTGTGCCATTAGAGCAACGGCCAGTTCGGCTTCCACTGTTAACGCTTTGGCATTTAATAAAAGGTACCAAAACAAAGCTGCCTTCATCCCGGCTCTCACCTCAGCGTGAGCCCGAGTGGCGACCCAATGGTAGGAAGCGTTTCTTCAGAACGCCGTCTCACATCGTTTTAATGATGCTGCATGTGGCTCACGTGGGTTTTTGCATCTCTGCGCTTTGTCTTTTGAGAGCAGATTCAAACAGTCGTGGGTCCGGCGAAGGTCGGTCAGCGTGTATTCATGAAGACGGGCGACTCTTCTGCTGCGCTCTCAGCTGAGAGGGATCATTTGTGCTCGCCGTGGGGAAAAACTCCACAGGGAGACAAAGGTTCATCGGCTTCAGCCGTCGTAGCTAGAAAAGCCACTATAGCTGCTTCGTACATGTTGAACTTTTCACTTTCACGCCAAACAAGCAAAGGGTCACCGTGATTTGAGCTGTTCCATTGCATGGTGCATTGTGAACGGAGACCAACAAGAAAATCCACTGAGCGCCTCATCGTCAGCTGGAGACGGACTTCATCTGCTGGAGCTAAAAATGGTTCAAGTTCAGTGGGAATTTGTGCAGTTTTTTCTTTTTTCTGGGCTTCTCTGTCACTGCTGATTTAGAGACGGGAGCAGAAAGGAGAAGGTCTGGAGGAAAAAAATAAATGGAAATCACCGAAACTTGTGGGCTGTCACGCATCAGTCGTCAGCAAGGAGACTCAAACAACCAAAAGACAGAAAATACTACTGCGGCAGGCAAAGAGCGCCACGCCCCTCCTGTTCCACCAAGCTCATGGAGCCAAAACATGCAGAACCGGGAGCCAGTTACGAGCTCCTTATGAGAGACACTGGCTCTCAGGTCAAACACAGCTATGAACGATGACCCAAAGTGAATTCATCTGAGGAGTCGCTCTGTGGCCACAGACAGAATCTATCATGTTTTTAAAGCGGTCGTCCCCTGGATGAATGCTTGTTACGGCATCGGTTGTTCACTCCTTAACTTCTTCAAACATAACGGCAGACAGGCGTATTTTCACAGCTTTGAATGTAAGGAGGGGCGGCGCGGTGGCGTGGTGGTCAGCGCCGTCGCCTAACAGCAAGAAGGTCCTGGGTTCCACTCCGCCCAGTGGCCTTTCTGTGTGGAGTCTGCATGTTCTCCCCGTGTCTGCGTGGGTTCTCTCCGGGTTCTCTGGCTTCCTCCCACAGTCCAAAGACATGCTCTGGGGATCAGGCTGATTGGGGACTCTAAAGTGACTGTGAGTGTGAATGGTTGTGTGTCTCTGTGTAGCCCTGCGATTGGCTGGCGACCAGTCCAGGGTGAACCCTGTCACTCGCCCAAAGTTGGCTGGGACGGACTCCAGCCCCCCCGCGACCCCGTGTGCAGGATAAGTGGTGTGAAGATGGATGGATGGATGGTTATTAGACTTTACTAGAACATTTGGTGTTGTTTGGTATAAAAACTACGGTGAATCCTGCTCTAAACTAATGAATACTACTTTTACTGCACCAAATACCCCCAAGTGCCATTTATCCATAATCCTCTCTGGCATCACACCAGCAAAACAACTTTGTTTGTTTAAATCCTTTTTTTGGAACATGGCTTCAAACCACCACAGAATGTAAATCTAACACGTGCACCATCAGCATTCATGACCGACACGAATAACCATCTATTTACCTCCCAATACAAATGTACAAATGTTGCTTTTACTGGGTTTGCGTTGTGCAGCGCCGCCCCCCTGCCCCGCGTGTGTGCTTAGCATAGTGCAGCCTCTGGTACCTGCTTGGTCCTCTCCCGCAGGTCTTTATCTTCATAATGGGGGTGGTTGGTGAGAACTCTGCCGGTGCACAGCTTGATGCCGGCCAGCAGCTGCATGCTGCCTGCAAATACTGCTCTCTTAGGGGTCTTTGTGCTGAGGACAAAGAAGAGAGAAGACGACAAACATCATTCTCACCAAATGTGTACAGAATCTTTTTAGGGCGTTGTGAGTGAGGTTGGAACCAGAAAAGGGAGAAAAAAAAAGCTTGAAGAAGAAGAGCTTGTTTTCCAGCTTTAGCTTCCTGCAGCGGTTATCAGGACATACATACATACGTATTTTAAGGTTTCTTTCAAAGATGTGGCTTCAAGGACAGCCGTCTATGTCAGGAACGGAAAGAAAAGCATTCATTGGGCGGACAAATTGAATTTCAAACAGGGCAATGATGAAAGGTATTCAGTTACAGCGTGTTAACCTGCAGGTCATCTCTAATCCAACCCTCTTACCCTGATTTAGCAATGAAGCCATGGAGTAGATCAAAACAAGGTTCTGCATCTCAACGAGGCTGTTCCTAAAGCTAGCATGCTCACAATCACAATGTTCCCCATCTGCCATTTGCTGATTGAAGGCTGAGGCCGATCAGCAGAGCATCATCAGATTCCAGGTTCAAGGATTCAACGATCAGCAAATCTATTAGAAATCAATGTGGACAAGGATTTCAGGGCATTCCATACGAGAGTTGTTGAGGGTTTACGCAAAAGCAGAAACGTTACCGGTGATCTCATGGGGGCAGAACAGGAAATGTCACCAAGACATTACAACACACTTGTACCGAATGTTGAGGCGCTCCATTGAGGAAAGATGGAGGTATTTCACAGGACACGTGAAAACCTCCGTACGGCCGTACGCCTCTTTCTGACTAGAATACACAAACTCAAAGAATTCATCCTCACCACGGAGCGCGCGTCAGAACAGAATGTCACGGCGATCAATCCAATAGTTCTGTTCCAAGTGGCGGAACCGCCAGTCGTCCACAGAGCCACGCAGCTCGCATGGCTACAAAAATAACATGAGATCCACTGTGGCCAGAATCACTTAGTCCCGCCCCTCGTGTGGAGAGGACGATAAAACATAATCAGTCTTTACCTAGGCCATTCTGTTCATCCGCCACGCATCAAAATTGATGACCCTTGCAGCAGGTTCCAGAATGAACTCCCCCAGCGGACGGAGATGACAAATTGCTCTCTTTTTATTATGCGGCATGTGGGAGAGCAGGCTGGGGACCATGAAGAGACTCGCCAGCATAATGCCATTAGACAGCTTTTTGAGAGATTACGGAGTACGTCGTGCGAGTTTAGAAATGCAGGGCAGTGACAACATGGAGCCACGTTGTTTTTGTGTCTCAGGCACTTTTGTTGTTGAGCCAACTTCTAGAAAATCCGTTTTCTCCGGTTGTAATTAAGGGATCAACGCTAATTAAAAACTGGAATCTGGTAATCAAGTGAACTCCGATATGACAAAACATATGCGGAACAACAATCATGATAAAAAACGCCAAAACAACATTCACTTTCACGTATTTCAGGACAGAACTTTTTGCCACACAGCACATCCATCAAAATGTTTACACCCTTGGAAGTCACAGATAATGAGGAAGAGGGGGTTTCAACCCCCCGATCTGAATGGCAGAGCACACGCATGCACGTCATTATCGACATAACTGCCCGTGTTAAAGTCCAGCTGTACATAAAGTATGATGTGTGTGCAGCAACATAATGACTAGCCACAAGCCTCCTGTGTGGAATGCAGCCGCTTCGCTCGAGTGGATCTGCACACGGGCGCGTGTGTGTGTGTGTGTGTGTGTGTGTGTGTGTGTTCACACAGCGCGGGCTCTCGGGGAAGATGTGGGGGCTGACGTGTTGCCCTCCTGACCTGTAGTAGAAGTGGGTCATTTCCATTTCGGTCCGTCTTCCCTCTGCAAGTGTGTGAATTTAAGTGTGTGAATTTAATCGCCCACTGCATCCCGGGGAGCAGCTTCTGTTCCCCGGGATGCCGATTCATATTTAATTCCATGTTTATATTCTCATAAATAAATGCCAGAAGGCAGTGGCATGCTCCCCACTGACATTCTAAAAAGGATAAGAGGACATCAATGGAGCAGGGGGAGTCACTGGGGCCTCGTGCAGGGGACGCAGGCTTGTATGTATTTTACTGTATGGGTCCGTGTGTCAGGGCCACGCACCTCCAGAAAGCACCGTTGAGGGTAGAAAGAGATGCGCTGGGCAGCAGATCTACACTACCTGAGGAAAGTGTTGACGTGATCCATCACCGGCAGCCAAATTCAATTTTTAAGAAACTGTCATGACAGACAACCTAAAAACTACTGTAATCAATATTTCATTCATATAAAACCATTAATCCAATTATTTATTTGTCGGCAGACACGCACGTCTGGCTCTCTCATGCAGCACAGTGGTGGGGTTGTGTGAACGGTCCTTGTCTCTACGCCCACGTTAGTCAACGGTTTATATCGTATGGCCATACATGAAGAGCAGGGTAGACCATTATTCACATGCCTACTTGAATTACTGTAAAAACTAAAATTACGTTACATTTTATGCAAATATCATAAAAGGTGTCATCACATTTCTTTTGTACGTCAACACTGAGAATGGAACCTCACAGAACGTGAATGAGTTCAACTAAATTGTGCGTGACGTGCCCCCCAGGATTTTTGAGAGAGTTAATCAAAAAAGGACCCAATGTAGAATCAATCATAAAAATGAGTGTGGGTGCAGATTAATTACCATTAACAAACTTCACATTGAGAAAAACTATGTTTGGCCGCCACACCACATCCACATGTGATGAACCCTCAAAGCTTTTAGAACTACGGCCTTTTGATTGTTCTGACTTGACGTCTAAACCGATATGATTAAGATCATTGTTTGGGCCAAAGTGTGTATTATTATTAATAATAATAATAATTGACTACTGCCGGTAACTTCACCTTAGAGTGAACGGGTGATAAGTTGGAGGGAAATGAAGACGCTGTAGACATCTTAACGCTGATTGGTCAAAACTTTACATAGACTTGTAAAGAACATAATGTCGTGGCTCTCTTGAGTTTCCCGTTATTTCTACAATTCAGATTTTTCTCTGATAATGTGATTGGAACAGATTCTTTGTCACAAAAAACATTCATGAAGTTTGGTTCTTTTATGACTTTATTATGGGTTAACAGAAAAAGTGATCAAATCTGGTGGATCAAAAATATACATACAGCAACGCTAATATTTGGTTACATGTTCTTTGGCCATTTTCACTTCAATTAGGCGCTTTTGGTGGCCGTCTATAAGCTCCTCGTTGAATCTTTGACCACTCCTCTTGAGAGAATTGGTGCAGTTCATTTAAATTTGATGGCTTTCTGACATTTACTTGTTTCTTCAGCCTTGTCCACATGTCCTCAATGGGATTTAAGTCAGGACTTTGGGAAGGCCATTCTAAAACCCTAATTCTAGCCTGATTTAGCCATTCTATTACCACTTGTGTGTGTTGGGGGTCATTGTCCTGTTGGAACACCCAACCCAAGACACAACCTTCAGGCTGATGATTTTAGGTTATCTTGAAGAATTTGAAGGTAATCCTCCTTCTTCATTGTCCCATTTACGCTCTGTAAAGCACCAGTTCCATTGGCAGTAAAACAGCCCCACAGCATAATACTACCACCACCGAGCTTGACGGTAGACATGGTGTTCTTGGGGTTAAAGGCCTCACCTTTTCTCCTCTAAACATATTGCTGGGCATTGTGGCCAAACAGCTAGATTTTTGTTTCGTCTGACCACAGAACTTTCCTCCAGAAGGTCTTATCTTTGTCCACGTGATCAGCAGCAAACTCCAGTCGAGCCTTAAGGTGCCGCTTTTGGAGCAAGAGCTTCCTTCTTGCACGGCAGCCTCTCAGTCCATGGAGATGCAAAACACGCTTGACTGTGGACACTGACACCCGTGTTCCAGCAGCTTCTAATTCTTGGCAGATCTGCTTTTTGGTGCTTCTCGCTTGACTCTTCACCCTCCTGATCAATTTTCTCTCAGCAGCAGGTGATAGCTTGTGTTTTCTTCCTGATCGTGACAAAACAGTGCTGTGCACTTTATACTTGCTAACAATTGTTTGCACTGTTGCTCTTGGGACCTGCAGCTGCTTTGAAATGGCTCCAAGTGACTTTCCTGACTTGTTCAAGTCAATGATTCGCTTTTTCAGATCCATGCTGAGCTCCTTTGACTTTCCCATTGTAGCGTTTGTGGGCGTTTGTATCCAATGAGCTTTATTTAAATGGCCTCAGAGAAGCTGTAGTCACTCATAACCACTCACGAGAAGTTAAGAGGCCATGAAGCTCATTTCATTGACACTACTTTCTAAGTCACTAAAATTGCTAATTCACGTTGCTGTATGTATATTTTTGACCCAGCAGATTTTGTCACTTTTTCTGTTAACCCATAATAAAGTCATAAAAGAACCAAACTTCATGAATGTTTTTTGTGACAAAGAAGTATCTGTTCCAATCACTCTATCAGAGAAAAAGGATGAGGGCAAATGCTGCTAATTTAAACAATTTAAAACACGACAAGGAATTGCATGACAGGGAGATAATTAAGGGAACGGCGGAGCGCGTGGCAGAAGAGGGAGCACTGGATGGAGGAAACAACGCGGTCGCCGTCTCACAGAGGGAGCCGGAAAAAATGGATTGGTACAAAAGGATTGATGTAGGAATGAATAGTGGCACATGCTTCCCAAGAATGGATAGAGTAATTACTTTTAATTAGACAGACAAATGGACACTATGAGAGCGTCTTGGTGTGTGTCTGAGTGAGTGAGTGAGTGTGCGAGTGAGAGACGAGCTCTATTTGCACTGGCCTTTCGAGGGACCTCATGTGAGTTAGGAGCGTGACCTTTATCCCGACAGGATGCGGAATCGAGGTCGCTCTTCACCGGAACCCTGACAGCATTGCTCATTTGCAAGAACAATCCAAGTGAGCATTGTTTATGGCTTTCAATAAAGGCTGCCCTCAGAGGAGAACCGCAGTGAGTGTATACAAACCCAATAAGTGGGCCCCCCCCCGGGACCAACCATTGCCGAGGACCAGGTGTTTTTTAGAACGCTCCCCCTTTCACTGGGTGTTTCCAGACATTTCATTTTCTTTTGTGTACTTAAACTCGTAATCAGCATTTGCTGTATTTGGCTCCACCTTCTTGTGTTAAGCCAGGATGGCGACTAGAAAATGTTGAATTGAGGCCACGTAACAGTTGTCCACAAACCAGTGGGTGACATCATGGTGGCTGCGTCCCCTTTTGTCCCGGCACAGTTCATTCTCAGGAGATGCGTGGACACATAAAAAGACAAATGATTAATTGAGTGCTACTGCCCAAAACAAACAAACAAATGTTTTATTTGGATATTAATTGACTGAGGGTTCTTTGGGGATACAAGGATAATGGTGTCTGGGTAACCCACTCACTGTTCTGTACTGCTTCAATAAGAGGCAACGGTTTGGGGTTAATTTAGTAACGTAACAAATACTTGCCTAATATTAAGACGGCGGTCTCCAGGATAAAAGTCCTGTATCAGTGTTACACACAACCCGCCCGCCCCCCCTTACCTACCGGGACTGTGCTCTTTCTACCACATCATTTGACTTCGCTCTGTGCAGCTGACGCCGATCGGTAGCGGACGCACTGGGATTGAGAGCATGCTGATTCGTTCTTATTTGGCACCTTCTGATAAGCTTTTACATCAATGTTAAACTCCACTGCTGCCAGTTAAGGAATGGACATAATGGTCTTTTACAAGACACTGACGGATCACCTGTTTCCCGGTTCCAACGTGACGCCCGGTCGGATAAACAGATCTGATTTTACCTCAAATACGCTGACTCCTTCATTTGAGCCGGTTCCCTCTCGGAGCCTCATGCAGCAAAACTGCTGTCAAAGCTCATTAATAATTCCAAATGCAGCCTCCGCTCAAAAGAGGAGCTGTACATTTTGTTTTGGGTGGCAAGTGGGGGGTTAGGAGTAAAACCTCCCGTGCTAAGGAATGTCAACAACAAAGAAATCCTACAAATACCCTGCAGTTGTGACTTTCAAATACTGCGTAGTTTTGAAATGCGTTGAAAAGCTCCCGGCTCTCATCTGTGCTGTGGACGCGTGAGCTGCATCCACGGCCCCCGGTGAAGCTGGAGCCCTGACGGGGCATCATCACGTGGCGGGGTCTCAGCTGCTCCGCGCCACGCGGCTCCCGGGCGTCGGTCACGGCGGGAGGCGGGATGGGGGGCTAATCAGCGCTCGGGCATTCTTACCCATGAGCACTCTTCGATTTAACGCAGCAGCGCTTTGGCGGTATGGATGGAGGCCATATAGGTGACTTTAAGAAGTGCATACTCACGGCTATAACTCAGGCGTTGGGAGCAGTGGAATGACCCTGCATCGCTATAGATTTATTGACCGTCCGTTGAGAAGGGACCATCAGCCTGCAGCTCGGGAGCCGCTGCGGTTATCAAGTAGAAACTCGTGGTCGTGCAAAAGCACAAAAGCACCTCGGCCGCCTGCCATCGCGTTAACCTGCGGCGCAGTTAAAGTCCTGACCCCCTGTCGTCATGTCAAGAAGGGGATATTAGAGAAAACAAGACTATGTCTGTATCGTTTGTACAATAAGCTGGGTGTATGACATGTCCGCTGAGATAAGGATATGAAATCTGCGTGACGTGTGTGTCCAGAAGGCCACTCGGTGTCTCATCACGATCAGATGTCTCAGGATAAAGAACATGATGGTCCTTGTACAATGAGATCATTGTGCGTGCGCAAAACCTTCCTGTTTACCATGCCGTATCCCAGTATCCCGTACCCCAGTATATATGTGCATGGGGGCGGGAAAAGCTCTGTCTCCTGTTTGCAAATATTAAATGTCCTGTTTTTGAGGTTTTTACACTGGTGTATTAGTATTCATTTTTCAAACCCCCCCTCATCCACCTGACCCGATTATATTTCATAATTCCTCAGAGGGCGTTACAGTCTGTACACATGCAACATCCTCTGACATCAGCACAGGTAACCCCCCCCCCCCCCCCCCCCTCCCACTCGGGAAATCTTTACCCTTTTCCCTATCCTATTCCCGGTTACCTTCTCTTTCTGTATCCCCGTTAATTTCATGAATACGGATCAAAAGATCTCCTCTCACTCCGGGTACATAAACTCCTTCTGTTCTGTGAAGCCTTTATTAGCCTACATGACTCACGCATGCGGCAACAACCCCGGCCTGCAGATAGAATTAGCATAACAAGTCGCTGCCCCTCTTCTATATGCACGTATGTATCCATCTTTGTTTTGCCGTTTGCGAATGTCCCGCGATGCGCCATCCGCTGGAGAACAGCGTGTAACACTGAAGCGCTTCTTCTGGGATGTAATTAGCGCAGCGGCAAGGAGCTTAGCGCTTAGCGCTTAGCCCCGGCCAAGGTAACTGGAGGCAGCCCCTAATCCCTCGGAGCCTAATGGGATTAGTGAACCTGTGTCACACGCACTAATACATCCTCCTCTACCTCACCATCCATCGCTCTCTGAGCCACTCCACTATCGGTCTGACGGCATTTCTTCAAATCCATCCATCCCATCAGCGTCGTGCTGCTGATGATGGGATGGGAGGAAAACATCCCCCGCGTTTCAATGATGTGAATCTCCCTCCAACACCATGCAGCACAATGAGTGGAAGACACTGATTTCACAGCGTTTCCGGGTATCTCTGCTTTCATATTTCATAGGCCTTTCACACACACATTTTCTGCGCGGCGCTTCAGTTCCCCGAGAGGCAGAAACTGTGCTTCACTGAGTCACACACGACTCCCTTACACTAAAGAGGAAATAAGTGCTTCACATGCTCTTTGTGTTTTTTTTTTAAATGTTTTTCAGCCTTATAAGTCACTAATTAGGACATAAAGCTGACGGGCGGTGTGGAGCGGCGGCGCAGAATCCCGCGTTTGCCACTTGATTGGGTATCAGCAGTCACAACATGTCCTTCTCCGATTCGTCACACGAGCCGCTCCCCGGACGTCACGAAAACAGCAGCTGTGATTATTGATCCATCGGGTGCATTTGACATGGAACACTGACTACAGACGTGGCTGACCTTGTTGTCCCTCCCAACTTGAAGAGTTAAAAGTCATCATGCATTTAAGCACAGGAAGCAGCTGTTGGTGAGATTAGCGAGCGATTCTATAGATATCTATCTGTCTATATCGCTCCAGAGAGAAAGGGGGCTGCACTCCTGAGCCCTCCGCTTTATGTTGTGGACCGGCTGCAAGCCACTTTTGAGGCATTTCAGAGAGGAGAAAAGGGAGAAGCTTGTATTACCGTGTCCGTCTGTCCTAAACTTTATATTTTGGACGCACGGTATCATAACGAAGAGCAAAACACCCATCGAGGAGAATATCGGCCAAATGTTGGTGAGCGCTTTTGTCAGGGTACGCCTCGTCTCTCCTTGCTCCAACGTTGGCTGTCAGATCGAGGTGATTGAGCGAAGCACGAAGCAGACAGCCACAGTGAGGTGCTTATGGTGAAAAGGAAAAAGGAATAGATAGTTCCCCAGAGGAGCGATGACATACACCAGTGGGTAGAGTGGTGATACGTTCTCAACATTTTGAATTCACAAAAAAAACGGTTCCCCTTTTCTTTTTAAGATTCCTACCGGTGGATCTCTATTCTGATACATGCTAACCTCACATGTTAGTCCTGGGGAGAGTTGTGAAAACAGCTGGGCTGACATCTGTTGACCCAAAATACTCAGGCTACACTCACTTCATTGTGCTTCAGCAGGGAAATAGTCCAAAAACCACATGCGATTATGTGTTTATGGCCAGATGTTGGTTGTTGCACAGCTACGTGGTACGCAGCCACCACGCGCACAGCGGCCACAATACAGTGTTATTCCAAATCCCAGCGCCATCTCTGATCCCATCGCCGCGGTGCTGTTGATCAAGAAGCCCGGGCAAACGACCCCCACCCGCCCAATGGGGGGTACAGCTCTGCAAACAGCTGTTCCCTCTCTGGCGCCCCTGAGTCTTAACCGTGAAGACCTGCCGGCTCTCATCACTCATCGGCCACACTCACTGCAAACTAGCGTCGACGCACACACACACACACGCACACACACACACACACACACACACACAGACGTGCTCACCGTCTCTCAGACTAATCAGGGGCATCAGGCCAAGTGAAACTTGGTCGGTGTAAACGCCCACAGCAATTTGATGAGTGAGTGTGGTTTGTGTGTGTGTACCTAATCCAGGTCATGAGCTCCACGGTGTCCGGGTCAAAGAACTCCCTCAGCTCGGACAGCTCCTCCATCAGCTTAGGCCAGAACTAGAAGGAAGCAGAGGGGTGATGGAGGTGATTCCTGTTCGCGCTCATAAAGGCCGTGAAGCCCGAGCATCGAACCCAGGAAGGTGTGGAAGATAACACGTCACCCCTGCATTGAATGTGAGCCGAATGGAATACATGAAAATGAACACTGCAGGGACTCCGGGTGTCTTGCTACAATCCATTTGCTTGTTATCATCCCGTCTTCTTTTATTCTTTTGTGGAGTCGCTGAACAGCTTCTTTTTTTTAAACATTTTTTTCCAAACTGCTCCGTGATGAGACCAACTACGCAGAGGGTGAACAGAGCACAGCAGAGAAAAGGGCGTACCTTGTAATACAGGCAACCCATCACCAACAGTGGGACTGCGTATCTGACCAACCGCAACTGCAAAATGAGAGAAAGACAAACAGCAGCGACGAGATGAGATTAAATAGATATCCGGGGCAGCGTTCTTATCCGAGCCAAATGCTGCTGCCGCCACGTTGTGACCACACTGACATCTGGTGGCCCCACCGCTCCAGAGCCCCTGCAACCGCCTGGACATCAGGCAGCTCCATTCATTGGGGGGGGGGACTAATCTCCAAGTGTTACTATTGTGCTGTTTAAAGTTAGAAAGTGCTGATGGACATAATGTTGGTTGTATCAATGCTTTCTGAGCACATTAAATGAAGAAGATTCAACCTTTTGTCATTGCACAGAGTACAGGCACCGACCAACAGGTGCTTCTCCGCGTTTAACCCTCGAGTTCGAGCAGTATGTGGCCGGAAAGGCCATTTGGGTTTAGGTGTCTTGCTCAGGGACACACAGGGACGCACGCAGCTGGGTTTCGAGCCGACAACCCCGCAGTTCCGGGTGAAGCCTCTCTACTCGATGGCCACAGGCCCCACTCATTTAATGTCAATTATCGTCCGTTTGCTCAGATAAATCATTTAGACAGAATTTACTTTGGACTGAGGGCTCGTTGTGCTTTTGTTTTTGGTGTATTTTGTAACATAAAAGCCTGTTTATAGCTGAATATTTATATAAGATAAAAAGTAGTGATAAAAACAAATGAACTGGACGAGAGTAACACGGTTGACCTGCCCATGTGTATAGTTATGAACTTTATGAAATTGTGCAAAAAATCCATCGATACATCGTTTTGGAATACCGGTAACATTAATTAGGTGTCAAAAGTTGGAGCTCACGGGGGCTCAGCGCTCTGAGGAGCAGGGGGGGACTTGATGCAGGTGATGTCGCTCACAACTTCCACATCAAAACACGACAATCACATCAGTTTTGCAACTGGCGGAGTGCTCTTACCAGAACCCTGCTGTTGCAACGGAGAGTGTTGAGAAGCAGAGTCCACAGCTCCTTCCCACACACACCGTAGGCAGCGACGGCACACATGTGGCCGGTCCATATGTACTTCATCCTGAGTGAGAGAGAATATCAGGCAGAGAGTTCTTTAACTTTGATTCTTGGACTTTAAGATGTTCCCCCGAGACCGGAGAGAACATTACATTCAAAGAAGACAACCAAATTGTCTCCAGTTTAGTGGACGACTTAGCGAAACGGCGCCACAGCGGGTTCATTCATTCATTGTTGGGAACACGGCATTTCTCCTCAGATCTGTGTTCTGATTCAAAGCACTTGCATTACAGTTCTCAAACAAATGACAGAACGATTGAGCAGGGAGGAGACAGAGGATGAAATGAGCTGGAACCTTGTTGACAGGTGCAGAGACGAAGCCAACGGAGAGAGGGAGAGAAAAATCTCAGTCCCTGTTTTAATGCAAAGGAGCTGCCTGACAGAAAACCAATGGCTTCCTGCACTTTTGGCCTTTCCCTCTTCATCAGCATTTAAGGGCAAAGTGCTGAAAGTTTTCTCCACTGCCTTGCAGAAATACTCTCGGATTGTTCACCTATCACACAAATTCGATCAGAGCTTTGGTTCTAGACTGTAACAGGGACTCATTGTACACACTCACACAAATATATTATGTATGGACACAAAAACACAATGTGCATCACCAACAGTCAAATCAAGCTGCTCGATTAAACGTTTGAAAACCTGGATCTGAATATTCCCCTTTGCTTTTTCGAGTAACAGCATGTTTCTTTCAATACTAGAAGTCTGATTCTAAATGGGAAGTTATCCCCTGGTTACTGCAGAGAAATAGCACAACATGTTAGCGAGCAGTACCAGAATACAGCACATAGGCTCTTGTTTATTTATTTTTAAATACAAAGTTGTTAATGTGATAAACTCTAGACATAAATTGATCAATTGTGGTCAAATGGGATTAGTTGGCCTCTTATTTCGTTTTGTTGTTCTGAGTTGTATGTAATGGACTACACACAATAGGAAAAAGAAAAACGAAAAGCGCTGCCTGCTTTTGTATTCACCCCTTTACGATGTCTACCAATTAGCTTCAGAAGTCACGTAAGTAATTCAATAACATCACACACAAATTGTCAAATCATTGACCATTACATTTTCAAGCACTGAATTAGACAATTTTAGGAGACAAAAAAAAAACAGACCCCAAAACCTAAAGCATCACCTGGTTTACAGTCTACTTTGCTCTAAGGGGAACATCCTTTAGTAAATGAAAATCATGCTGTATTGAAGACTTGAAACTAGATATTGAGACCACAGACTCATGTCTACAATGGTTACCGAGGGAATACATCAAGAGAAAATAAAGAGTCATTTTCTCATGGACTTCTGAAGTGGAGACCACCTGATTCAACAGGGACGTCGCTGGGTGCTGCAGTCCACCTCAACTTCCCTACAGCAAGGCGAGCAGTTAAACTAGAGGTTTAACTGTTTGTCAAACAAAGGTAAGCAAAAACAAGACTACTAAGGTTTTCACTTATCTCTTAAAAAAAACCTGATAAAATGTTTACAGGATCACAAGTATTACGATCATTGCAAGGACAGACAAAGAACACAGAACGGTTCACCACACAACAAGCGACTGCACTGAGTGCAAAATTAAAGTCGGCCAGTCGGCATCTCCCAGCGGCGGTGCAAGCCGCCAGCTCAGAAAGCGGAACATTCAGGGAATTAAAAAGCAAGTGGTTGGTTATAAAAGACGACTGCAAGTATGATGTTGTGCCACAGTGGCCCTGCAGTCAGGGCTCTGCTGTCTAGAGTGTGTAACCGGGCCCTCAGAGGGAACCTGCCAGCGGATGATGCAGTTAGGTGAACCAGAGAAATGGGCCACGGGGTTTGTGTGTGCTACGGAAAGAAAGAGAAGCAACATGACTTATGGGTAATGAGGCTAATACTCTAACGCTAACGGCTAATGTGAAATATCAAGACAGTGCAGAGAAAGTGCCACAAAGATCTTTTATGCTCTGTGTGCTCTCGGTTTACCAATGATCTAATGAGGCGCTTAAGGTCCAGCGCTATTTGACGCCCAAACCAACTGTGTCGTGGAGAAGGAAGAGAAGTTTTGTGAGCACAACGCTTGGTAAATCCCATCAACATGTGATCCAATCACAGGCAAGTAGCCTGACAAGGCACAGCTTTGGATCTGTCCACATGCAGCACGAGTGTGCAAGTGGCTGCACAAAGACACAATCTGCCCTATAGCGTTTGGAGTTTGGCATCTTGTTTTCTAGCATTTCCACAGCCATAAACACAAAAAAAAACAATTTTAAAGGAGTAGATTAAACAGTGTGTTTGCTCTACAGCACGCTGCAAATAGCTTAGCATAGCTAACCACGTTTCTCGCTATGTACGTTACCATCTTTTTACATCTAAAGCCTAACAAGCACATCACTAACTAATTACGCTGTTTTGAGGTCACGGTAGGGCTGCATGGGATACGGTATGAGAGCTAATTGTCTTATGTGTGCAAAAAACATGGGAAAGAGCAATACAGGAGGAACAACGAGAAACCAGAGATGCACAAACACAACCTGTGCCCAAGAGAGGAGCTGTGTCTGTTTGGAGGGTTCTTGGGTTTGGAAAATTCGACGTAAGTTATGTTAGATCAGAAAACGATTTATTGCAAAGTCTGTTGAGCCCCTGGTGGCAACACTAGCGGCCACAACAAGCTAACACGGCAACAAGCTAACACGGCAACTAGCTAACACGGCAACTAGCTAACGAACTAACACGCTAACGAGCGAACTCGCCGGCCAGTTGCGAGCAAGTTGGCCAGCGAGCGGCGAACAGCTGTTCGGGTAGCCGAACAGGTAGCGGTCAATGAATTAATGTGTTTACTTGAAAAAGATATAGTGATATACTGGGATACCGTCAGAATCTTTAATACCGTGATATGGATTTTTGGCCGTACCGTGCAGCCTTAGGTCACGGGTCACAGAAAAAACAATGCAGAAGTATTTTAATAGTTATATTCTTTCAAGAAAACTGAGTGACATTTTGTCGGGGGTGGACGCTACGGCCAACGGAGGGGGGGGAGAGTAACCAACGAGGTTCGGACCAGAGTCCGATTCCTTGGCGTGAGGAATTGAATGCGTGACTTGAGAATGCAATGCGTGACATTTGAGAGCCCTGTTCAGAAGGCAGCAACATGATTGAAAAAAGTCTATGAAAAAAGGATTACTTCGCTCTGGATTTATTCGCCCAGTAAACATTGGAAAGTGTCTCAATCTCTAGATTTAAGTCTTCTTCAATACAGCATGATGGCTTATTAGTCAATCATGGTCCATTTAGAGTCAAATAGAACATTAAGCAGAGTATGGTAAAGGGCGGTCCCAACTTCTTTTGATTGAAAGATCCTCGTCAGAGTTGTACACGCTGTCACTCCTCTGCAGTGCCGATATGCTCACTTCTGTTTAGAACAAAATTGCACGGCCAAGATACTAAACTCATGGTTCAAAGCCGTAGTCCACAAACTGGTGAAGTCACAAAGAAGTCATATAGTCATATAAACAGTGTATGATGTATAACGTCCTAACGCTAGCTCTTTATGTCATAGTTTTGTTTAGTTGTATCCAATCGGGTATCTGTATGCGTGTGTAGTACACTTCATTAGTAACAAATACATTTTCAGTATACACCCGACCGCAGCATAAAGGCTTAGCAGTCAAAGAAAAAGGTGTGATCTTACATTGTTTCTTACAATAATATTAGATTAGCAGGAAAACTGAGCCGTACACTGCAGCACAAGACAAAGGCTGTTTCACGTCTTCTCCTAGAGACTTCTTGTGTGAGAAACTGGGCTTTTGCTTCCGTCTAGACATCATTAAAACCCCTCTCTTTAAAACAAGTCAGATCGAGGGGGAACGGAGCTTAGCAAGTTGTCAAAGGGAGTCTTGTGTTGTCCTGTGTAGTGTGTGGTAACTAGGAAATATGTGCAGCGGTGCAGAAGCAACTCGCTGCTCAGACAGGCAGTGTGTGCCGGACGAGCGATGCTGCTCGGAGCGAGGGCTGATCAAGGCTCGAGTGGGCCACTCAGAGACACTTGGTGAAAAGCATTTGAGCGCCACTTTGAGGGATTTGCAAGCATCTGCTCACGAGCATGCACAAGCCAGCCGAGAGGAGAAGAGTCCCCATCAGGGAATCAAACCGGCGTCGCTGCTTCGGTATGGAGAGGATCCTGCATCACACAAGCTTACCTCATGGTGCTGAAAGCCAGCAGGCCGTAGAACAGCGTGTGCAGCAGGTTGTAGGCCACATCCGGACGGAAGGCCGCCGCCCGCTCCTCTCCGCCCCCTTTCCTCTCCTCAGCTGAACAGCCTTTAGGTCTGCATACAGAAACAAAGCGGAGCAAGGCAGTGAGCTAAAAAGCAGCGACGATACATAAAACATGACAGCCCGACGCTGCAGAAGAGAGGCAGGAGGGTCGGTGGGTGGAATTATTCAGATTACTCTGTTCTTCAGGTTTCATTAGCCGCTTAGGCACAGGCAGACATGCAATGATGCACACCCACCGGCGTCTGCAGGTGAAAGCAGGCAGACACACAGGGAATAAAGGCTCGAGGGCAGCTGTGTCACTCCCACAGCTCGGCCCTTCCACACAGAATCAGACATACATCAGCGCCCATTTAAAGGAAAACCCTGAAGTTCTTCCTTCTACGTGAAGCGGGGTGAACTGGACTCAATTAAATGAACCCCTTCAATTGGCAGGCAGCCCTTTGTTGTCCCGGTTAGTGTTCCAGCCCCCCGACAATGTGAATAGCCGAGTGCGGCCCGTCGCCTTGCTGCTGCTTCGCTATTGTGTATGAAATGAAGACAACTGAGTGTAGACGATCCTGCATCCCACAAGCTGATGAAGCTTTGAGCTCCAGCTGGAAGATTTGGCAACAACACCCTTTCTAAGTCTGCAGCGATGTCCGGCGGAGACATGGAGGCCCTGAATGTCCTTTTATCCCACTTCCTTGTTCCTCCCTGCCAAGTTTGATGAGTAAACACTTGATATATGCTAACGTGAAGCGTTAACCCGAGCTAACACTCTGTATACGAACATGCATTTTGTTTGGCAAACCCTGAGCATCAGTCATGCGAGTCCATGAATTCAGTCCCCTCTCAGCTCGGTGTTGCTCTCCCCCAGAGGTGTAGATGCACAGCTTGTCTTTAGCCTTGAGTCAACGTTAACAGAGAAGTCGGATGGAGGAGCTCCCTCGACCGCCACATCAAACATTAATAGAGCAGAGGTTTAGAGGACGCATTCACACCATGTGTGTTACCGCACACATTACATGTGACTGCAGAGGCTGCTTACGTGCCCCCACTCTCACCTGAGGTTGTGCACTGCAGCCGCTGCCAGCATGGCGCTGAGAAGCAGCAGTGTGAGCACGTAAGGGTACAGCAGCAGTGTGCCTCCCAAGCGCTCTAGTGTGTCCAGGGGCAGCCGGCCGAAGGCCTCCTCGCACAGATACAGACTGGCATCGAAATCCCTGCAGGGGAGGAGGCGGGGCGAAAGAGAGGAATAGACAGTGAAAGATGTACATGGATAAGAAGTGAGAAGAGAACAAACTTCTTCCATGGCGAGCGTGCTCATGGGCGTGTCGGGGGCCACGTCTCTTATATACACTGTTAGATGCACTCGTGCTAAATAGTGTAGAGCAGTAGATCAAGAAAGTAGCAAAACAAAGTTCCCTTCTGTTTCTCACAAGAAGTGTCAGTAGTGACCCAGCAAGTGTAGCGTTACCAGACACGTGCACAGACATTTTGGGGGGAGGTGCTCAAAACAAAAGGGCACCCGTCGCCAAAATCATTCAACTTATATATTTATGTATTAACAAACTTACTCAAATTGAATAAATACATGAATAACAGGTGTAATCAGACAAAACCTGGCCATATTGTACTTTATAAAGGTACGGGAGGCTGTACTTTATCGTGAATAATGTTACAGTCCGAGGGTGTTCACATCGCTCATGGTGTCCACTTTTTTTGCCCTCTTTAGCTAAACGTTGCCCTAAAAACGGCTGTGAAAGCTCGCATTGCCCGAAACCGGTTACTTGCAGCATTTCCAGTCTTTTAGTCGAGCTAAAAGCTGAAATGACAAATGCTGCAGCATTACACTAATAATATACTACAATATACCTCACCAGACTGACGTTTAGCTCAACTTAAGACCTACCTTTCATTTTAATAATTGAATTAAATCAAAAACTAGTGAACTGATCTATTTGTAGAACAGTAAAACAGCCTTTAAATTCTCTGTCTGTCTGTCTGTATCGCTCTTTTTCCTTCATTAAACATGACAAACGTCAAGGAGAACGCTTTGAAATCACAGATTTCATTTTCTGTTGCGACGGTTTTCAGCGGTGTTTCCGTGACGTGGTTAATTTATCACCAAACAACGTTGTCGTTACCGGTGTGTCCGATGCTGCACTGCACAAGCACCAAGAGGAGGAGGAACAGTCCAATGGCTGAGCACGCACGCACGCACACATGTGTATGTGATCAATGGGATCCCAATATATAATATTATTCGCACACACTTAACACCCCGGGTGCTACAGCGCTGGCTTAGTGAATAAGAGTCAGGCTCTGCACACTCACACGCACTGCTGTGTGTCTCTGTGTGAGTGAAGCGTGCCGGCGTTGAAAAAAGGGAAGAGCGCGCAAAATTGTTGTGTGTCCACATCCATGCAGTTTGTGTGTATGTTCATACCTCGTCAGCCCCAAGGCCAGCTTTGACTTGATGAATTTAAAGATGTGTTCGTCCGATCTGAGTTGGAGAGCTTTCTGTAAACGTACACACGCCCACACACACACACACACACACACACACACACACATTAGGTAATCCGGTTAAAGCTAAAATCAGCATGCCGATGTTATGCCGAGTATGGGCTGCAGTAATGGGGAGAGGCGGAGAGGGTACGGGCAGGAGAACAAGGGGAGGTGACGCAGCAGTCGGGGAGGAGGGAGGTCAGAGAGGAGGAGCACCTTGGCCAGGTAGTTGATGGTGACGGTGAGGAGGAGAACCATGGCGCTGTGGAGGAGCAGTTTGGCCAGACGGACCAGCGGGCTTCCCGTCTTCAGACCGGACTGCAACGAGAGCGTTGTACTTAGTACTCAGACGAATACTCGGATCAATAACAAAAATCATACTGAGCACTGACAGCTATGCACCCAACTGACATCTTCAGTAAAGAGGTAGAACTTGTAATGTATGTAAAGAGAGGCTACATGGTATCAGCAGTGATTTGGTTCGTTAGGTTCTTTGGTGGGGGAGCGGATATGATGATTAAATCATTCTTTCGAATGTAATGCAGCCATAATTCCTTTAAATCAGTCAGTCGAGAGCCGCCTGCTGAACGTGAAACAAAAGAGAGCCACTAGAGGCAGGAAGGCATCATTGACCGGACGCCAGCCAAGAGTCTCAGTTCAGCATTTCATGTTAATCAGCTACAGCTCAGAGCATCTGCCGTCAAAGGAGTTTGCCATTGGAACCAGTGAGAGCTTGAACAAAAAAAAAAACAGAAAGAAGTTAAAACTGCCTTGTGGGAAATGAAGAAGCGCTGCAGTCTCTCTTGTCATGAATCTGTTTCATGTTTGGGCTGTGGATATTACGTTACTCCAAGCCAAAAGTCCTGGTGAAGTCACGAGCTGTCCACGTCCTGCGACTTGAGTCCACGCGGCCGTTCTTGGTAGAACGTTTTACAATAAGAGCACGTGCTACTGTGAGAAATGACCTAAGGCCAGAAATAAAATCCATCGCAGCCTCTGTCCATCTGTCTCTCCTTCCCACTTTCAGCCTGTCACATTAAATGTTTCTATAACGGTTACTGTGATAGGATTAGACTTAACTACATGACATTCACACCTGACAGGAAAATGGGTCTCCTGGATACAAATGAATGATCTCCTACGTAAAAAAAAGCAGACTGCCGGGATCTTCCATCTGCGACTTTGACACACTCACTATTGTGTTGCTTCTTTGTGTGCCCAATTAGTGCCTTTAACTCCTATTCCAAACACACACACACACAGTTACTAACCTGGCAGTGTCTGATGAAGAGTGCGGCAACGATGAAGCTCAGAACCAGCGATCCCAGTATCATGGAGTTACAGAACTGCAGCAGCCACACACTCAGCAGACCGAACACTTGTACGAGGTACATCGTGGTCACCTGAGGAACAGCACACGTACCCGTCAGGTCACACGGCTCCAACAACCGTTTTCCAGTTGGATGGATGTTAGAGGTTCTGGTCCTCGTCGGGAGCCGTACCTGTGTACCGGTTAAGAAATCGCCACAGTCCAGGGTGAAAATGACGAGGGCCTGAACCAGCAGGATGAACTGGTTGAACTGCCACGTGAGACAGAAGCAGAACGTCGTCACGTACATCAACCACACCAGCACCTTCTGCCGAGGGAAACACACACACACACACAGTGGGATTAGACGTTTGAACTGCTCACGGTTGATTGTTTCATTGCCGGTCTGGATGAAAACATTGGGTAAAATAATCTGAGGGTGGGAAATTTTTTGTTATTGGAATCATTCTGAATACTATCAGAGGTGAAGCCACCTTACTCGCTATGGTGGAAAAGTGAAAATGAAGCCTGATTTCATAGAAATGATCATGTAAGAAAAAAAATAAATACAAATCAGCAACTTTTAAAATGTAGAATTACATTTTTGCAGGGAGAGAATTTGGATGGAAAAACATTTCATGTTTTAATCAACTTTATTTTCCGATTTTCAACCACACTCAAGATTAATATTGTGATCATTTCACACACGTCTAGACCTGAATAAACCTGTTTCTTCAAACCAGATCCTGTAAAACAGAATTCCCTATTATGAGTGTGTGTCTCTGTGTGTAGCCCTGCGATTGGCTGTCGACCAATGCAAAGTGAACCTCGTCTCTTGCCCAAAGTTGGCTGGGATGGACTCCAGCGATCCTGTGTGCAGGATCAGCGGTTTGAAGACCGTTTCTCCTTATTTTGGTGCTCACCTGCTGCAAGGCGGTGAGCTGAGGCCGGAGGTAACAGGTGATGGCGGTGACCTGCAATGCCAGGAAGGGCAGAGACCAGTTCTCTCTGAGGGAGATGGTGAACTCCACCCGAGTGGTGTCCACCCTGGTAGGAGGGAGAGAGAGAGGACAGGATGGAAATCAATGGAAGTCTGCCCTGTGCCCCCGGTTTTGTTGTCATGTGATGGGGAGGGACGAGTCCTCTGAAGGTTGCTCCGGTGAGTTTAAAGAAAGTATTAGTAGGTTTCAAACTGTTCGGTTCTTTCCACTATAACACATCAAGGTCCCTTCTTTATTTTGTTGGTTAAAGTTGATGACAATGTTCATGCTGTTCTCCTGTCAGAGTGAAACAGCTAAATAACACCAACTCACATGACAACTTGGTATTTTACAGGAGTAAACATCTTTAAACAGGTTTATTTGTAGGTTTTAATTGAAGACGCTCTTACTCTACTGAAAAGGAAATTAAAACTTAAATAAGTACTGTCACTAAGAACTATGGCAATCCATTCATGGCCAACGGGAGGCACCTCAGGGGGACTTGCTTCTGGAGCGAGTTAGTTTATTTCACACTCGATTATTATCAATCTTTTCTTGCAGTTATTATTATTATTATTATTATTATTATTATATGGATTCACAACTGACATGAGAGAACTACAATCTCTAAAATGCTCTAAAAAACAGAATTGTGCTGCGCAAGTGGTTTTCTTACACTTTCCTTGTGTTGAAGAATGATGACTCAACATGACCTTTACTGCACTGCGGTCTTATATATATATAAATTACTGTCGGCATTAGCAATAGTTTTTCCTTTCATGTACTAGTGAGGGCCCCCTGAGTGTTAAAGCCCCAAGTCATATGCATTAGTGTCTTATCTTTCACTTTTCAAATGCAACCCTCTCTCTCTTGATATATATAGACACATTATATGTGATTATATAAGACAAATAAGACATTAATGCATATTACTCAGAAATAAATAATGTGATCCGATTTACATTCTAAGTACACGCGATAATAAATGCCAGCATGATATCAAGAGTTGATTACTCAAGTAAATAGACGATAGAGAGTATGTGAGAGGAGAATATGAGAAAAGAGCTCAGTGCTGATTTCAGATAGCGAGTGAAAAAAGGAGCAGCCATAAAGCACATGTAATAGTATGTGGAAACATCTGGTATCGGAGGTGTCACCACAGATGCTAAAGCATGACACCCCTATTACATGTATGCTACTTTGTCGGTCATATGTTAGGAGGGTGCATCATGAGGAACTGGGTAACAGCTGATACGTCCCCGAGATTCCAAGATGCGCAGTCCTCCCAGCCAACCATCATTGTTTCTATGAGTAAGCTCACTTGAATATCAAAAAGTCCTGGACATGAAACCCCGACAGCACCGTCTCTGTTTTATACTTGTTAAAAACAAAATGTCAACCTTTTACTGCAGGAGGCCGTTCGTAGCGGCACCTTTTCCACTGCTGAGGAGCTTTGTTCGCCTTGGCTCAATAAGCAGCTTCAACGTCCAGGTTCTACCAGCGCGCAATGGGCTCTAACTTTTACAGGCGATGAATAACGATGTTTGTGTTATTCTAACTAAGGTTTAAAAAAAGGAAATGTAAGCTACCCGTGTTGTAGAAGTATTATTCGATATTGCGTTTATTCCATTAAAATGTGCTCATGTGCTAAAATGAAAATGTGCTCCGTGTAAACAGGAAGAAGAAGTAAAGATGATAACATTGGTCTTTTTTAATATTTGGAACTTAATGTAACTAAAAGCTCTAAAAGGTCGGACACAAATGAACAGACGGACCACAGACCATCATGTGAGGGTTCGTTTGACAACCTTTTGAAGCGCTTCTGTCACAAGATGAGCAACGGGGGATTTGCAGTGATGTTGCAATTTAAAATGGAGATCACACACAAATGCACAGTGGCTCATTACTCACCTGTTGAGTAGGTACCAGACCCCTGAGAGCGTGCCAGCCAGCCACGAACCCGACAGCAGCCACGCTGTGAGGTACAGAGCGATCACGTACACGGCTTGGAGCGAGAACACCGTGTAAATGTAGAAATACACGGGCTCCAGATAGGACTGGACCACACACACACACACACACACACACACACACACACACAGATGGAAAGCATTAGTTCATTAGGCGCTGTGAATGGACGCAGTTGCACTGCGGTGGCTACGATCCGGCCACTCAGGAACGTAGTGGCCTTTTCAAAGTTTGGTCTGATATTTCCCTCGTTGGCATTCCTGTCGCGGGCAGATCTCTGAGGGAGCTCAGAAGCCGTTTCTGGGCTAATTGACGTGCCGATACGCGACGCTCTTCCTCCGGTCTGACAAGTGCAGGTGTGCCAAGCCACGTGGAGACCAAGCTGTAAAATGCCACGGCGGCCTCCTGAGACGGCCTTCACTGTAGCATTCAGACAATCAATCATTTCTTTTTGTGGCGGTCATTACTCTAATCTGGTGTTTTACAAGCCAATTGTAAAGAGCTGACAGCTGAGTGATGGTGTACCTGTATGGGCAACAATCTGTAGAGAACACTGAGGAAGACCTCTTGGTAGATATTCATCCGCTGCAGGAGATTGATGGTCCTCTTGGATTCTGTCAAGTTGTCATGGATCAATTCGGACAGCCCTAGGAACACACACACACACACACACACACACACACACAGGGACAGAGAGCGATAATAGTTACTGTGAGGATGTTTTCTTGTACGGAGTACTCTGCTGATTAAACAGTATTCTGCTTTTATCAAATGAAACATTAACCAACTGGGAGGAACATCACTCACTATCCTACACATAAAAAACCTCATCTCTAACACTGATGATGAGAGGAGACGAAGCCGGGCCTCAGTGGCTCAGTACCTCTTCAGAAAGACCTCCTGCGGGAAATTCCTGTATACGTATGGGGAAGTTCTTCCAATCGTGCTTTAAGATCAAATACCTATCAACGCACTGCACCGATGGGGTACGGAGCACTCTTGGCAGGCATTTGGTAAGCTGCTGCAAACCGGAATCAAAACAAAGGACAATGTTACTCCATTATCTGCTTGAAGTGTCGTGGAGCCGGTACTGAGAAGGCGAGGAAACCTCTCGGTTTCTGCTGCCCCCAAGTGGCTAGAAAAGGTTTAAAGGCCGTGTCCCCCCCCCCCCCCCCCCGTCTACCCCCCGATCTCTCAAAGAAGATCAAGTGCTTTGGAGAGTATTACAGGCAAAACTACTACAATAATACTCCTGTCAGTACACGCACTGGTGTCATGGCTCCTGGCTGCGGTATCATTGGTATGTTGGGTTTGACACTAAACTTGGATGGGGTGTGTCCGTATGATCACTGCTGTGTTCTTGATCCCTTCAAAACCAGAAAGAACAGCTCTGGTTTCCATGAACAAGATGGACATTATTTCCCACTAGCACACATTCCACCTTCCTTTTCCATCTTTCCTTCAAAATGTCATTCTTGCTTCCTTCCCCTTTCTTTCCTCCCTGACTTTGCTCCCTTATCGTCCTTCTTTCCTAATAGCTCTCCTCTCATCCGTGTACATCACTGTCCTTCCTTCTCCCTTTTCACGCCTCCTCGCATTCCTTTTTCTGCCACGTCACTTATTTGGCATTCCGGCATCCCATCTCTTCTTTTCTCATTTCTTCCATGACAGTCGGCCTGTATTTGGTCTCCTCCCTCCTGCACCCTTAGTGACCCGTGTAGCATGTGCACATCGAGCATTACTGCTCACGCGCGCTGGGACAGAAGGAGAGGTCGGCCAGCTGCTCAAAGTGATTGCAGCTCAATTATTTGCCTTACTGGAAAATTGGTTGGCCGGTTTGAAACTAGGTATTTTACATGATAATGGAAAAAATAATCAGACTCATTTTCCTCAGAACATGCAGTGATTTGTTTGGTATAGTTGGACAATGGTGGGTACCTGGGTCCAAACAGTCATCCGGTACTCATCCATGAAAAGAAAGCCGATTTTATCAAGATTTACGATATTATGAGAAAATGTTGAAATAATTACAGTTACCAAAATGTTCATGTTATGCTGGGTAGTGTCGTTTTTCAGGAAGTTTTCATATGATATCAGCAACGCGCTTGAAGGTGTGACGGTTGCCTTCTTTATGTTCTTTACAGTGAACAGGCCTATTCCACTGCAAACACTCCATCACTACTTTAACACAGGAAGGTCAGTAAATCTGGAACATTTCAAGTATCCTTAATTGGAGTCGAGCTAACTACCAAACGCTCTGATGAGAGTGGCTCTCATGAGGACCCCCCAGGACAGGAAGACCAAGAGCTACCTCTGCTGCTGAGGAGAGGTTCATTAGAGCTACCAGCCTTTGAAACTTCAGATCAGAGCCCACAGAAATGCTTCTCAGAGTCCAAGTAGCAGACACATCTCAACAGCAACTGTCCAGGGGAGACTACGTGAATTAGACCTTCATGGTTGAGTTGCTGCAAAGAAGCACTACTGAGAAAGAACAAGAAGAGACATAAACACGAGGAATGGACATCAAACCAGCGGAAATCTCTACTTTGTTCTTCAGCAACATGACATCACGTCTGCTTTGCACTTAGTGGGACCAGGATTTGCCGTCACATGGTGGAGAGTTGAGAGCAAGGTGCACGAGGACAACAGGAAGAGTCGCTATCAACATGTTCCACGCGCTGGAGTTCTGCCTCCAATCAAATGTGTGTAGTTACAATTAAACAGCCCCAATGTATGTATGTATGTATGCATGTATGTATGTGTGTGTAGGACATCACATAGACACAGTTTATACCTTCCTGTATGGACGGGGCCTGCAACATCTGCTTGTAGTAGGAGTAGTAGAGTCCACACTCGGTCCGGAAGGAGATCTCCCTCTCCATCTCCTAGCAGGAAAAACAAGGTTGTTTTTTTGTTGAAACCAAAGACTTCTGTTTCTCTGAAATATGTAAAACAGAACCTGGCAGAGTATGACAGAAACACAAGATAGAAGCAAAGCAGCTAATACACTCATAAACCTTGGCAGTAACAAGGAGACAGGTAGCAGGGTTTGTGTGTGTGTGTGTGTGTGTGTGTGTGTGTGTGTGTGTGTGTGCTGAGACGATGGCTTCCCAAGAGATTTCCACTTGCCATGCATGATTACTGTTCCACTGGGGAGTAAAAACAGAGAGCAAACAGCGAACAAGCAGCTGCAGAATATTAACTCCATCAATCCATCGTGTCCCGTTTGAAAAGAGCTTTTACAGCTGTGCTCCATATGAAAAGGAAACTCTTTGACCATAGAGATACATTTCTTTGACTTAATCGACTGTTGGTCAATCTGAGTACCTCAAAATTTGCCAGTAAAAAAAAAAGTTTCTAAATATATTTACAATGCCATTTACGACAATGATCTATGATTTAAAGCTCATCCCACATTAAAAAAAGGAGCATCAAAAGAAAAATGTACGCAAACAACTCAACAACTGATTATTGACCAAAGGAGTGGAACAGCCCTGCTGATTTCCATTCACCTCACTTGAGCGATTGTGCTGACATTTTGCAATATTCATAAACACATGAAATGTCCATATTTCAACTATTAATAAATGTCCCTCAGTGGCTGCTAGCCCACCACCCCTTACAGCTCCACTGTCCACTCCTCATCTTAAGCAGAATTGATGGGCTGTCTCATTTACTTCCAGTCTACATCAGCTGCGTCTTAGCAGGTATTACGGTGTAGTTATATTTAGTATTATGCTGTAACACCCACACAGATGCAGGTGGAAATGATAAAGCTTGGCCAGCACTGTGAACACTGTGAAAACAATGTTAACGCGAAAAATGAAAAAAACAGCCTCCACATGGAGGACCAGTACGGACGTCCTGGGCTGACATCTTGCTGACTCCGTGACCTATTAGGACAGTGAAGTATGTTAAACTCGACACATTACCGGCACTGCAGCGCCTATATTCTCAGGCTCTATGAATCAGCGTCTGACATCGGCGTCATAAAAATCCTCAGGTCGTTTGGCGGAAATGGAAAATCCAGTACAAAAAGCAACTATCTATAAATAGTAATAACATGCAGACATTGTAATGTGTCGGAAAATTATAATACCAGTTAAAAATAAATGCGTTAACCCGTATTCAAATAACCGTTGGCATCCGGCGCTCCACGACGAAAAAAACCACATTGTTCCTCTTCGACGTCAGCTTTATTCGCCACGTGTGCTTATGCATACATGGAATCTGACTCCGATTACAGGAGCGCTCCATTACGAACACTTTACACAGAGAGAGGGAGAGCGAGCAGACACTGCAGCTGAGGGGCGTGACCCTTTCAACTCGTCCCATCAAAGCTCCGGACCGACGCGGCCTCAGAACTCCTACCGTGAGCTGAGAGAACCACAGCAGATTCTCGTGTATGGCGTTGACGCACCAGGCCTGAGCCAGCGCCAGCAGCCCGGCTAACGACAGCCCGACCGCTGTGGAAACACTCCGTCGCCATGGCCACCGGCGTACCGCGGACGAAGGACCACGGCGAGCCGCCGCGGGCCGTCCAATCGGAAGCGCCTCCCCTGAGGCCTCCTCGGCACGGGTCCGCGTCGCGTTGCCGCTCCGTCTCCCTTCGTCTGCGGCGGCTGGAGGAGGGCCCGCGTGAGGTTGCAGCTTGCTCAGCTTAACTCTCCTACGAGGCTCCATTGCCTGAGACGGCGGAGATCATCAACGCGCTCTCGGGTCCTTTGATGTGCTGAATCCAGGTAGATAAACAGCACGCTCCCGGGCTGAGCTATAGAACCGATCCAAACGCATTACAGCAGGAAGTGGAAATGCGGTGCGTTTCTCTTTTCTTGAAGTCGGTCCAAATAAATTAACTTTTTAATCGCTTCAAGTTCCTTGCCAAAAGGAGATATGCAGAAAAGCTTCCTCTGGGGGACCGAGCGGCCAGTTTCCTTCCCAATCCGCTATTAAGAGTTTGCTCTCAGGCAAAACAAGCCTTGGCTTTCCACCAGGAGCTCTGATGAGACGGCTAATCCTCAGTTTAAACGAAGGTCAAAGAAGAACGGGCCCAGTCAACACGTTACTCATTTCCACGGCAGCTAGTTCACTTTTCAGCAGCCGGCGATCCTCCTCTTTCCCTCCCAACGGCTCGAAGCGCTCGAAGAGTGCGAGTGAGCTTCCGCCCAGTGCGCTGTACTCCGTAAACAAGAAGCAACGCGAGCCCCCCCCCCTCTTCATCTCCAGCAAACACCTGGAAACAAAAAGCAGCGAGCCGCGATCCGAGTGCAGCAGTCAGAGGGAGGGAGGGGGGGAAAAAAAGAGAGAGCCACTACGGGTGACCTCTTGTCTGTCTATAAAAAACACACAGGCACACAGGGAGAGAATAGGATGGGGGGGGTGTAAAGGGGCGGAGAACGCCACGCGGAAAAATACGGAGGGAACATTCGTCAAGAGATTTTTGTGGAACTGGAACCGGCATCGGGCGTCTGATATGGACGCATAACGACATGACGTGATAATGACCATTGTTTGTGCGTGTGTGTGTGTGTGTGTGTGTGTGTGTATGAGAACATGAGAACAAACCCTTCCAGACCGGAGGGTGAACGCCGCTAGCGAGATGATTAAAACCAGTCCCTGGTTGTGTTGGGCAGCGCTCGCTGCGCAGACCAGCATTCTGATAGCATCAGTCACTCCGGTCCGACGGCAACAACAGCCAAGAGCAGAAAACAGCAAGCGAGACACACAAATGACTTTACAGCATGTTCCAAGGCCCTTTCCAACCTACTTGACCTGGACACAGTGTGTGTGCGTGTGTGTGTGTGTGTGTGTGTGTGTGTGAGTCAGGGAGACAGACAGTGGCTCTCTAAGGGCAGGAAATCAAATACATAATATCAACTATACTTGAGGTAGAATTCCAGCCTTGGTCGTGTACAACAACATACCAAACTGAAGGGGAATCTTATCACCACAATGCCTGTAATAAAGTAAATATATACACATGTTTCTACTAAATATCTTCTAAATATTTCAATTTGTTTTATACATATGAAAAGGCTTAGCAGATTGAACCGTCTGGAGTGAACAGTCTAAGACAGAGACACTGATAGAATTACCAGAAGGGAAACACGTGTGTGCAATGTGCGATGATGTCAGCCAGGAACACACTTATGTGAGAACAGTTGGGGGAAATGTTCACCTTGCCTGTGAAGTCACTTGTATTTTTTCATGAAAGAAAGCATCTGTCCTCTTCTCTTCCACACACACACACACACACACAAACACCGTGTGTGTGTGTGCGTGTGTGTGTGTGTGTGTGCGTGTGCGCGTGTGTGTTTTGATCCGATCCTCACTATAGGAATGTGGCTTGTTATGCTGCTGTATTAATTTGGTTTAAGTTGCAGATAGTAATCAGTGTTCGCCCCGATCCACATTCAGAGGCGGTGGTGCCGCTGCTAAGCTTTCACGCCACCATTGACACGCCTGCTGAGTGGAGCGGCTTAACCTCTGCAAAGAAACACGGAGCAGAGAGAAGGAGGGGCAGTGGAGACATTTAAATCTCTGGCTCCGTGTGTGTGTGTGTGTGTGTGTGTGTGTGTGTGTGTGTGTGTGTGTGTGTGTGTAGTCAGAGGAGGAGCTGGGCCCTCACAGAGAGCATAGGAGGTGTTTGCTGAAGCAATATAACTGCAGTTACAACGTTTATTTGATTACCAAGAAAGACCAACTTATCTAATTCAATAAATCATTTCTTAACATTTTTTGGTGTTGTTCACATGATTTCATATTTTTGGGGGGCTAACATCCTTCCTTCAAAAACCTCAATAGAATCAGAATTGATTTTTTTTTATAAATTCTATTAAAGAAACATGAAACTAAAGCAGGACCCACCATCTGACCTACATTCCTTTTCTAAGGACGACCACTGCACAGCCAAAGTAGGTAGAAAGGTAGGACTCTGAGCCTGCTGAGAATCTCCACCCCAGTCTGAAGCACGGCGATGCTTTGTAATGCGTCAGGCCCTGATGTTCTGTTGCCGCACAGCATTTACCGGGCTCACGATCAAACCGCTGCAGCTCATGGAAAAACAACCGAGCCGAGACATCACGTGTTAACGAGCTGTTTGTAACGGAGGATGAGGGGACGTATAAGACTGGCGCTTGTCTTCCTCTTGTGATAAGCGTGTGGAACTTTTTCAGCCTATGAACTTCACTGTGTGGGAGTCATTTTCCATCTAAAAATACCCACATCTATGACGTGCTCGATGAATACGGCACATGGGTGTCAGTCCTCAGAGGATCTCCATAAAAAAGACCTCTATCCGTCTGGGCATTTCTGCCGTTTCTGAACTGCCACATCGAAAGACATTAAAAGGTTCAGTGTGGCTTCAACATTCGCAGATCTTCTTCCTCGCATGGCACAAACTCAAATATTTGGTATCACACAATCGACAACACTTACAGCAAGTAGGTTTTTAACCATGTAGCAACACTTTAATGAGAAGTAAAACTATGCGAAAGTGCCTTCAACTTGCATTCTCTTTGGTGACCAGTAGGGGGCTGGATTTATTCCCTCAGTAAACACTGTAAACATGAGCTTATGGTCTCTAGTTGCTTCTTCAGTACAGCGTGATGATCATTTGGTAAATCATGGATCTTTCCGACTCCATAAAGTGGAGTAGGCTATAGGGCGGGGCTCCTGTGATTGACAGGTCTCTACTGCTCACAGAGCCAAATACTCAAAGCTTCAACTCTGTGACGACAACAACGTACACTCAGTGGTTCTTACTACACACACAGACTACAAGGAAAACCTATGATACGCTCCAGATAACAGTGCAGCCGTTCTTATTCAAACAGCTCACAACTTCCATGAGGGGAACACGAGAGCGTGAGAGAGAGGGTGGAGGTGTCATCTTATTTAAATATTCTCTTCAATAGAAGCAGATGCTCTTTGGTCATTTGAAGAACCATCCTTGATGGTTGAGCTCACTCAGCTCGTCTGGGACGGGTCTCCTTTCTGTTCCCGGAGTCCGAACCAAACATGAAGAAGCAGCGTTCTGTTATTCAGCTCCACATATCTGGAACTAACTCCCAGAAAGCTGCAGGTCTGCTGAAACTCAGCCGATTTAAATGATTTATGGATGAAGACTTTTCTGTTTGCTGCTGCCTTTAATTAAACCAGATTCATTGATGCTTTTACGGCTTATACCATTAACTGCTGTGCAACTTTTATTCTTGTTTGTTGTTTTAATGTGTTTTTACTTAATTCTTTTGAAATGTCCTCTTCTTTAGCCTGACATTGTAATGGTTTTAAGTGAAGCATTTTGAATTTCCTTTTTGTTCAAATGTGCCATACAAATATATTTCCAGTGAGCACATCATAATTTCAACGTAAACATACACATAAAAGCGTATTTTGCTCCATTGCTGTACAAAAGGGAGAGTCACAAAACTCTCCTTCAGATATCAAACAACAATTCAGCCAGTCTAGGGGCCAATATTACGCTAAGTCTCAGTTATCCAAAGAAACGTCACTGCGGACCAAGTCATCCCCTCTCTACATTCGTTAGCTTTCTTTCCAGTTTTCTCCAATTGTTCCCTGTAAACTCCCATTACTTGAAACCGTCTTTTGAGGAATGGAAATCCCAAAACAACAGGTTGTTCCATCCAGTCACTATGTACAGTACATGCAAAAAAAAAACATCAGTGGCGTGAAGCTAGAGCAGATTATAGCACATGAATGCAACAGAGCATGACACTAATCTGGGATTTTTCTGGATAGACCCGCTCACTGTCATGTCAGCGTAATCGCATTCTTGGGCTGCGTCTGATCACCGCACACGCCGTGGGAACCGCTGTTCCATGGTCATTCGCCGCTACCGCCTTGTGACTAATAGCTGACGAAACATTAACCCCCCCCCATTGGGATGAAGACCCTCCAATGAGGTTTTTGACCCCCTCTGGTTTTGATGAGGCGTTCAGGTGAGTGAACTGAGGCCTCTTAGAGCCCTTTGAGAAGAACAGTGAACCAGGGCTCTAATAGACCAGCAGCGTTAGCGTTAGTTTTCGTTTGCCCTCCACCCGTACATCGGCACGGCTCACACTGAGGCCCCTTATTAAAAATGCATCGCCTGGTGATGTGATATGCCTGCCATATTTCTTTTTGACAGTTTTTGTTCCATGACACTGATTACAAATTCATGTTGGAGGACACAGCGATAACTCAGAGGAACGTGGAACAGCCGATTACGGCCATTACTGCAATCACAAGCTCCCTCAAGGACATAGGAGTTGTCGCCGCAGACGTGAGAGTGGTCACATGGAGGCGTCCTCGCGGATAGCTCCGTCCTCTGAATGTCCATCACCCAAAGCAGGGACAAGTACACGATCCCAAAAAAAAAAAACGGTTCTCCGAACTAAACGTGTCCAAAAAAGTCCAGTCGCTCTACAGCAAGCCTGTGGTGTGAAGTGGGGGGGGTGGTGGTGGGGGAGGCCGACGGCGTCATCGCTACACAATGCTCAGCCACCGCAAAGCTCGACAACACGTGACAAAGTTAGTAAGTCAACAGTCAAATTCTTCTTGCTTGATTGTTCACGTTGTGGAGGACCACTGATTGATTATTGTCTCCATGAATACGTGTAATTCTACATCTGTTTTATTTAAACCTTATCTGTAATTTATTAGATTACTTTAATTTATTTAATTTGTAGTCAAAGTGACTTTTCGTCAGTTTATTTGCGTATGTGAAAAGTGAATAATAGGACCCAAACTCCTGGACTTAATCGATTGATGTGTGACATTATTACATTTCTTAACACAATCTGAGCGGTGCACGAGTCAGAGAAGTTATTTCACATGTCATTTTCAAAAAAAGAGAAATGTGGACAGCCAAACATGAACCTTTAACCAAGAATGGATACACTGATATACTGATTCGGCCCACGGGCAGCTCACAGCCAGCGTGTCTCATGTGTTTAAGAGAATGGGGCCATTATTAAAAGCAGTAATGTGAAGACAAAGCACATCTCTGAGCAAACACATGCACACATCTGGGAATGATCAGAATCAAAATACATGAAATCACCGCCCAATAGTTAATGTTAGCAAAGATGATATAGATATAACCACAGATGAGTGCATCACACA